TTTTTTACAGATACACATCTTGACTCTATAAGAATGCAGTGAATGAATTTGATCTTCAATTTAAAATATTTACGCTAGTGGACACCACAAAATCTTATTTTATTCTTAATGGAAGTATAACATTAACAATTAAGTGTTTATCTAATCTACTGTTTTGACGCGATACACATTCTACGAAACTTTTTTCAATAATCTAACCGTCAAACTTGTTTGTACACACTCCGAAATCGCATATGTAAAAAATCACAAAAAACAAACATTCAGAGATTAGGTAACAAAACAAAAGTTTTTGACGATTTAAACGAAAAATAACAATTTAACGGTTATTTTAGCTCTGATGTTGATGATTTTTTACAGCTACACTCCTCGACCCTATAAGAATGCATTGAACGAATAATATGACACTAGTGGATAACACAAGTCTTACTTTATACTTGATGGAAGTATAATATTAACTCTAAGTGTTTGTTTAATTTACCGTTTTGACACAATATGCATTCTACGAAACTTTTTTCAACGATCCAACCGTCAAACTTATTTGTACACACTCCGAGATTGCATATGTAAAAAATTGTAAAAAACAAACATTTAGAGATTACGTAACGAAACAAAAGTTTTCGACGGTTATAAACGAAAATTCACAATTTAATGGTTATTTTAGCTCCGATTTTAATGATTTTTTACATCTATACTTCTCGACCCTATAAGAATGCAATAATAAATTTGATCTTCAATTTAAAATATTTACACTAGAGGATACCACAAAATCTTATTTTATAGTTGATGGAAGTATAACATTAACTCTTAAGTATTTAATCTACTGATTTGACGCAATACACATTCTACGAAAATTTTTTCAATGATCTAACCATCAAACTTGTTTGTACACATTCCGAGATCGCAGACGTAAAAAATCACAAAAAACAAACATTTAGAGATTAGGTAACAGAACAAAAGTTTTCAACGGTTATAAATGAAAAATCACAATTTAACGGTTATTTTAGCTCTGATTTTGATGATTTTCTATAGCTACACTCCTCAACCCTGTAAGAATGCAATGAATGAATTCGATCTTCAATTTAAAATATTTACACTAGTGGATAAATCTTATTTTATACTTAATGGACGTATAACATTTTCTCTTAAATGTTTGTTAAATCTATCAATTTGATAGGATATGTATTCTACGAAACTAGTTTCAACGATCCAATCGTCAGATATGTTTGTATATACTCCGAGATAGCATGTGTAAAAAATCACAAAAAAAAAAAAAAAAAAACATTCAGAGATTATTTTGGCGGTTGTCCAAAATTTCTTTTTGTTCGTGTCGGTTATATTCGACATGGCCATGAGTGAAAAAAAAATATTTACAATCAATATAATATTTTAAAATAATAAAATCAGACATGATAGAGTACACCAAATATTTATGTGTGTTTAAGTGCTAGACAATGTGTCACACCCCGTCCCGAAGGAGGGCATGCTGGCCGTCACGTGAGAGTGACGTAACCATTTACACAGTTCGGAAGCTTTAAAATATACAACTTCTAAGATGAACCACCCGAAGGTGAGTCCTCATTTGGTCCATTCTGTCAGAACACCGTTGAATTTCCTCGTAGTCACCACACCTTTGTAATTCTTGAACCTGGAGGGGCGCAAAACCAAAATTGAGTGGGTCAGTAAAACAATTCTTTTTTCAAATCCAAACACTTCTCAAAACTTTGTAACCCCTCTCCGTAAAACCTGTATACTTTTCTAGAAAATAAACATATATACGTATGTATAGATATGTCAATCAAGCTCAAGGGTATGACAATCACACTCACAGGTATGCCAATCAAAGCCTCATAATGATATGCAAGTGCTCAGGTATAAACCATATCAATAACATGTTACTGGCAGCCGGGAGTCATCCAAAAGTGACCTGTACGGCTGAATCTAGAGCTCAAATCTCAATCTCAATAACTAAACAACTGAACCTGACCACGATGTTGGAACCACCTAAAGTGGTCTGTACGACAAGGCTGGGTGTGACGTATAAATACGCTCTAGTGCTACGATCACGTGAAGCTGGGCGAATAATCGCGGGTCACCTACGAGTCGGAACCACCTAATGTGGTTTGTACGACAGGCTGGGCACCTAGCTTGGATCCAAGCTGAGCATAAGGTGCGGTGAGGTGAACATCACGTGAAGGCTGGACCCTGCTCAGGGCAGGAGCACTCACACGGAGGGTGCAGGTTATGAGCTCGATAATCATCTCAAACTACTGCTGAATGTAAATACGAATAACCTTTACCTAGCACTTACCTGTGCATCCACAGCACCCAATACGCATAAATAGACATATGCATATTTGAATATATAAGTAACGTATATGCAACTAATCACGCATAACCACCAATTATATAAAAGGAATGACATATCACATCTCTATCTCAAACGTATCTCAATCAAATCTCAATCATAAATCATTTGTATTTCCATCGTATTCCAAACGTATTTCATACGTATATCAAATGTATTTCATACGTATATCGAATGTAGCTTACCTGGGCCTCCTCAGCACCATGCAACAGTATGCATAATTATGGTAATGCACATATTAAAATATGATGCATGTATGACAAGATATTTAATTCGTATTTCTTTTAAAATACGTTTTCTGGTAAATACGTCAAGCATACGTATATATATATATACTGAAAAATAACTGCCCACTCACAGATCACATCGACGTCTCGTAGGTCCCTGAGCCTCCCCTAGATTGGTTACATTCTTCTTCTGTATAATTTTCACCTAAACAAAAAGTAACCAAATTGACGTTATTTAACGCACATACACCAAACATTCGTCAATAACTTTCTCATACGTTGCTCAATTTGGGTATGTGAATATACCACGGTGATCTACACGACGTCACGAATACGTGACAATTTTCAGAACTCAATTTGGAGCTCTCACGCGCCCCCACGCGCCCTGTTCACGCGCTGCCCACGCGCGCGTCTTCTTCCTCGCGTCGCCGGACTGGTTTCGCCGGAGGTGGGTGTTTTGCCGGAATTTCTGGGTAAACTTCAAAGTGTCATAACTTCTTCATTTCTTAACCATTTTCGACGTACTATATATCAAAATGAAGGTATTGACGAGACAAACACATCCATACCTGCCTCGACCCCTAACTCGCCGTGGATTAGCCGGAAAAAGCCTCGAAAGCTCCGGCCAACTTTGACCACAATGATCCCGACGTCCAAACTTCTCCAACGAAGTATTCCGAGGCTCCTTGGGACCTCACTAAGACATCTACAAGCTTAAAAATCCCAAAAACACGCTAGTTTAAGTTTGCATGAATAGTACCTAAATCGGACTACCTCGAATCGACATGAAAACGAAGGATTTCTCACCTGAAAATGGTATGGTTGCACTCGTACGAGCTTCACGAGTCCAAAAATGCCCTTGGTTCCTTCGATCCATCAAGGTTTGGGTGATGTGTGTATTGTCCGTACGTTTTCAGAAGGAAGAAGAATGAATGGAGCTCGGGAGAGAGAGAGAGAAGTGACAGAAAAGAGACAGAGGGAGAGGAAAACACGGGAGAGTGAGAGACAGTGTGTGTGAGTGTGTGTGTGTGGTCCAACACATGCCACACAACACAAACAACACTAAACGTAAATGTAACGAACTAGGGGTAAAAAGGTAAATTCACACATACGTTTTTATAATCTCGGGACGGGATGTCACACAATGTGCTTTGTGGCGCATTGAAAAAAATTGTTTGAATTTCTTTGTATCTTGTTACTTGCCTGTGAGGGAGCGTAATCCTTATTATAAAAATGATAGAGCTTTAGATTGTAGTCTGTTGTTATTATTCTCTCAGAAAATTTATGGCTGGTGGCAATTTTGTGCATTAGACTTTAGGGTCATGGGTGAAATTTTTTTTTTAAAATATGTGTTTATTTATTTATTTTTAATCAATATAACATATTAAAATAATAAATTTTCATTTATGTCGGTTATAACCGTTAGAATACTAAAATAATAACCGGTAGAAAGTAAAATAATAAAATAGTCAATTTCTGTCGGTTATAATTACCACCATTAACTTAAAAACCATCAGAATCTTCAAAAATATTAAAAGAAAAAAAAAAGATTCAAAAATACCGACAAGACTTTTTAGATATCCGCCGCTAAATATCCGCCAGGACTTTATGTCAGATATAACCGATATGATTTTTCTAATATTCGTTACTAATTAAATGATGTGTCAGATATAATTTATCCGACATAATTTTTCTAATATCTGCCACTATCATTCGCCACTTAAAGTTAATATTGTAATAGTATTAAAGCAGTAAATTAAAGATCATTTCGCTAATGTACTAAACAATACAATTACCGAACGTTAATGTTTGTGTTAGTTGGATTTTTTAAGAAGCATAAAGTTGCATATTTGGTGATAAGTATCAATCTAAAGTTGAAGAGGGATAAGATGAACCCGTCACATCTAATAGTTAAAAGGGATGGTGTGAAGTAGAGTATTCTATCAACATCTGTAATTGTTGGATTGTCAGAGTATTTCTATATGAGATATCAAGATCTTATGTAGAATGTCATTATGCATATTTAATATTAAAAGTTTTTTTTATCGAAGCGTTATTTGCTGATTGAATTTAAAGACTTTGTGATTTGGAATCAAATTTGACATCAATATTAAATTTATTTTTAATTCATTTTAATGGTGGATCTTTTGTTCCACTAACATATCAACCAATAAATATTTTGTTTCAATATTTTTTTAATAATTACAACCATTTAAAATTCTATTTAAATAATAAAATAAAATTTGATCATTCGGTTGGAGAAGTATGAAATTTGGCAGAAAACTTCAAATTATCATATCAGTCATCAATTGTAATTTTATTCTTATAATTTGACATTTCTTTTAGGGATGATCTTAGCTGCATATTCACACTCTATTCTTTCAAAGCACATATTATACACTTGAACATAATAGAATTTTCGTGATCGTAATTGTATTAATTTGTAGACATTGTACAAATTCAAAAAAAAAGTACACTCCCCCAAAAACTTAAATTTCCGCCCCTAAAATTACATCCTACACCATCAAAGCTCCTTGTCCTTCAGTCCAACAGACTTGGCCGCCGCGTCGGCGCCGCCAGCTCCGCTGCTAACACCCCTTCCCTTTCCCTTCTTATTAAAAAACCCCAGATGAATTCTGACGTAAAAATTCAAAAATGCCAACAGAATCACACCGTTGAGGACGGAATTGAAAACCCATGCGCCAATCCCGTTGCACCCGCCTTTCATGAAATGCACCATCAGGACGCCGACGTGGCAGGCCACGTTGCAGACCAGCAGCGCAATCTGGCAGTTCACCACCACCGGAAAACACGCGCCCGGCAGCCCCACGGCGGTCCAGAACCGGTACCCGTAAACCACGGAGTAGACGAGCGTCGTGCAGAGGATCGCCATGACCTGAATCGACTGCGAAAACTCGAGCCAGAGGAACGAGATGACGGTGAGGATCGAGTGGTTGAAGAGCTGGAAGGGGACGAGCTTGCGGCGGCGGAGAATGGTGAAGAATGTGCGGAGCATGTGGGGAAATCTGGAGAGGTAGTACACGTAGGACCAGAAGAAGACCCGACCCGACGGCCGGGTCCCCAGCGGGAAGCAGAGGAGCCACTGGAATGGGGTTTTGGACCGCGGCCAGAACCACCGTGTCTCGCGGATTTCTGCGGCGGAGGATAGGGTGACTCCGGCGAATATTGTGAACGATATTAGGGCCATCGCTAGGCTGTGGACGGCGGGAATAGGTCCGAGAGGTACGGGTCGACCCGACCGGTTTACAGCGAGGAGGAAGAGGTGGAGGAGGAGGGAGAGGGTTATGTAGACGGCGATGGCGGTGAAGAGGAAGGACCACGTGGAGCCCCAGGAGTGGGTGTGGGACCACCGGAACCCGACGATGGTGGGGTGCTCCGAGAGCCAGAACGTGAGGGTCTGGATACCCGGCATTATTTTTTGCCGGGCTGGGGACGGATCAGACGGTAGAAGTGACGTGTCTCGTCGTTCTAGGGGAAGGAGAAAACGACGGGAGACGGCCCTTCACGCGGTGGCGGGTGGGTCTGGTGGCTCTGGCTCACATCGAATCATTCATCCACAATTTTTGCTTCCAACATTTATTTTTATGGTTTGGGAATTTTAGGGGTCTTTTAATTTGAGTCTTTTTGGGGATGGATGGATAAGTGGATGGACAAGTAGAAGTTGGAAACTGAATCAAATGACCGGTCGGCATGAAGCCAATAAATAGTGTTGCAAAAAAACTGCAGTTTTGGAGGACACGTCCAGGGTTTTGCTTGGCGGTACGTGTGAATTCTTTGCTCGGCACGTGTGGGATGACTAAAATAAAGGTTTGCTTTGGTAAGTAGGTTTGTTCGTGTGCATTTTATTATGAATAACTTTTCTTCTTCGGTAGAGATGATCGTTTGCGTAGTGATTTATAATATAAACATTTTCGATCATATACGACATTCTGTAAACATATCACAATGTATTTTACGGAGTACCTCCTCAGTTCTTGAGGATCCCAATCTTTCGCTTATTATAGTTTGTGGATTTTAGGAGGAAGTAATATTATTGAGATTGCAAGGATAATGGGGACCATTGTGGACTTCTTGTGTATTTATGAATGTAATTAGGAGCTGAATAATTTGATTCATGGTCACAAAGTCAGTATTTACTCTCAAGTAGGAGCAAAATATAGACGACGAAGGTGAACTAATGCTTTGATGTGATCCTCACCCTAACTATTTAGGATTTGGCTAAATCAGATAAATGGTTTCTGTGGTGATAAGCTATTTGGAACATAGCCCATGTGGTAAAAAAATTCGGATTTAAGCCCTTATGGTAAATTCTGTTAGGATTTATGCCCAAAACTCAAACTTCCATTTTCCCTCTGTTAATAGTCTACACATGACGGTCACGTGTGGGGTTAAAATGATCATTTCATCCCTTCTATAGTTGTTCTCCATCCCTTCTGCAGCTGGCAGATAAAATTGCAGTGTCGAACTTAGAGATCGAAATCGCAATCGCAACCATCATTAGTAATCAGTGTGAAACGGTGAAATCGTAATCGCAATCATCCTCAGAAATCAAAATGGATTTTGAAAATGTTAGTGCTGCAAGATCCAAATTATTTTTCTATTTGTTATGGCTCTACCACTGTTTTCGACCCCATTCATCTCCCCCACGATCTTTCTGTTCTCTATCTTTTAGAGAATTGCTGTTTTGACTATGAACAAACTCCCAATTTTCACAGGACCCAAATTATTTTCTGATCAGCCCATCTACTACCTGTCATAGAGGCAACATCCTGACAGCCTCCTTCCCAAGGATTGACACCATTATCCCAACCCTTTGGTGGAGTGATACTGTCCCCCCATCTGGTTCCATCCCCGCGACTCATTCCTACTATCTTGCCATGCATTCTTCTCCGTGTTTCAGAATTGGGAACGCCAGGAATGAGGGTTTTAGTGATGGGCACACTACTAACGATGAATTGATCACCTTAGCCTCACATGTGACCCTCATGTGCTGGCTACTAATGGGAAAGATGGAAGTTTGAGTTTTGGGTATAAATCCTAACAGATTTCATTACAGGGGTTTAAATCCGAATTTTTTAAACACAGAGTTTATGTTCTGAATATCTTATTACCATGTGGACCATTTATTCAATTAGGCCTTAGGTTTTCTTACACTCAATGAATCAAACATTTGTCGTGAACGTATTGGTATAATTGGAGCTTAAAATTCCACAACTTAATTAATTACATAAAACAATGCAAATAGGAAAGGAAATGGACTGTTGATCGTCATGATCATGCTTTATCTTAGAAGGACCCCTACTCTTGTTACATAAATCTAATATAACGGAGGATATATGTGACAAAATTTGAATCACATTATTAATAGTCTATTGTGAGGTTTAGTCTATTTTTTCACATTATTAATAGTCTATTGTGAGGCTTAGTCCACTTTTTTACATTCTTATTGTAGATAATAATAATATCGTTTGTTAAAAAAAAAATTGAGGATATATGATGTTTTGATTCTATATAGTGTATACATTTGAGGTTGCATATATGCTCTCAGCCAAAATAATTATTAATTAAGGGGTGTGATATCTACACATTTTTTTTACTTCTCACACACCCTTCTAATTTTCGGCCATCAGATCGGATGAATTGAAGAAAATCAAATGACATAAATTAACAAGGGATGTGTGAGAAGTAAAAAGGGGTGTACAATCCACACACTCCTTAATTAATTACACTTGTGATGAGAAGCACGTATAGGAACAATAGGCCAAAGATGTCAAAATTTCCGCGTTGGTGCATTCAACTTAAATTAGGCCAAATATGTTCAGATTCCGGCCTAAACTTAGATTTTTATTATGTGGAGTGATTTATGTACATTTTTTGATCTCTTATTATATTTTGTGTGAATTTTTAGTTATTAGATTGAATAAATTAAAAGAGAATCAAGAAACATTATAAAACAAAAGAATATAAGATAAAAACATGTGAAAATAACTTCCCTTTACAATAAACATCTAATAATTTGAAGCCAACAAGGATTGGCTCAGTTGGTAAGTTCACAGCCTTGTGTGTCGCCCCATCAATACATAACGGTGACAACTCACAGTTAAGTACCATGCGTAATTCATCTGGCTTGAAATGATGAGTATTACTCTGGTACTGATAGTTAAAGTAATCAATCTTCCCCTAAACTTTTAAAAACCCTATATCTACTGATTTGGAAGACGATAATAATGTTCGAATAGCGGACGTAAGAAAATTCATTGGACTTCCATCTAATTATGTGTTTTCGTCATCTTTCAATGGTAAAAGCCATCAGGAGAAAAGCCATCCTCTACAACGTATTGTTTGGTGTGGCTGCATGCGGAAGATATCGATATATGGTGGTGCCACTAACTTTATTACACCAAAAGTCTTCCTAGTTCTCAATTACTTGGTTGCTTTAGGGATTCAAAATCATATCTCATCCGGAAAGGTCCAATATTAATCATGTAATGTAGATAAATCACGAATGAATTATGATGGATCATCATACTCCAACTTATATTTAAGAAATCATATCTCAATAAGAACATAGGGGCGTTAAACTTTTCCTCACCATAAATGCATTAAACGTCTAATTAATCATTAAAATATTACACGCAATACTTATATTCGTGAGTCACACACGTTAAGCGATTTACAACAATTGATGCATTCGTGGGCGACTCACCATAACACTATCATCGTACCAACGCACTCAAATCATTTCAGATTTCAATTGTCTTGTTTAATGAATTTTCGGGAATTTTAATGAAACATTCCCGGTACTGTTCATTTTAATGAAAAACCATATTTTTACTCTAAAACTCAAAATTTTCAAGTCATTTTCATTAGTTTTCCAATTTTCTGGCTACAAATATTGGTGCGTCAGCCATCTATTTTTTCGGTGTCTTGAAAATTTGGCAGGTGGGTGTCTCTATAAATTCAGTTGCTGAAGATATCCTGAAGGAGAGCAGTAGAGACTTAAATTAAGGGAATAATGGCATTTGGCTAATGTCCAAACCAACTTCTAGAGTGACAACTTTCCTAAGTTTCGATCAAATTGTGGCTCAAAAAGTTTGAATATGTATAGGGTCTAGTCATAATAGCAGTTCCACCGTGGGAAAGACCCTCCAGGGCTATCCACTATTTAATCCACCTAGTGAACAGTAATTGTCCTTAATGAACAATAAATGTCTTTTGCATCTCCATCCCTACTCTTGAATAGCCATGGCAATAGGTAAATAAAATAATAGTATTTTTTGCAACTTGCTTGGAATTTCCCATGCACTCTCCACTCCCTCACGTCACTCCCTCTCTTTCCACTCATCTTTCTCACTTCTCTCCATTTTTCTGAAGTTCCTCTCTCTCTCTCTCTCTCTCTCTAATCTCTCGACACTCTCACTCTCTCTAGAGCTCCGAGAGCTCTCACCCACTTTCCTCTTCGAAAATTAAGCAAATCAAATTCCAAAACCATGAAACCTTAATCTCTGGGACTAAAGGATCCTAGCTATACCGTTGCATGCATCATCGGACCATCACGGTGTAAACCACCATTGAAGCCGAGAGCCTCAAGATCTGAAACTCGAACCCAGGTGAGGTTCTCTATGAAAATCTTGTTTCATTATGTCTTAATGTTGCTTGGGACAAGATTTGTGGTGTTTTTCCAGTTTGAAACCAGAGGTTTAACCCCTTGCAATTTCTCTGAAACCTTGCCCAGTTTTTGGTCACCTCCTCGAAGCAAACTCTGGCAAGTTTGTGGGACATGTGTCGCGGATGCGGAGGACTTCGGCTGGGCATCGTTTTGTGAAGGGAGGAGGAGGCATTGGGGAGAGTCGTCGTCGCCGCCGCCTATCCACCGTAAGACGACGACGTTGTTCAAGAACCATGAAGGTTGAGAGAGAGAGAAAGGGACATCCAGGTCTGTCTACCACGTGGTTGACGTCGCCCAGACGTCAGCCTTGCGTCATACGCCCTTCGGGCTCTCGGGCTGGTAGCTCATGCCGGGCCTTTCCCTCAGGCTCGCTCGGGCTCCATCACCAACACACGCTGGACCAAGTTACTTAGACTTTCTGGCCTGTTTGAGAGCCAATCCACCGGGCTATTGCCCACGGTGGAACTACCCTAAGTGATGGTCATAATCAGATTGTGACTGTAATATTGCCATATCATATATATGCTTGCTTTTCACGAACTAAGAAAATGCATGAGACTTTTGGTAATTGTACTTACGCAGGCCGAATTATATACGTACAAAAACCGAAGGTTCTTCAAAGACAGTATTTAGGTCATTTGCGTGGTTGCCATGGTTTTACTATATATTGTCCTATGAGACTCAAGTTTTGTTAGAATAAGAGCTCTCCGATTTATTATTGAAATAGAGCGAGGGAATCGTATAACAAAATAATATTTTCGCATGCATATGTATATAGGTGTGGTTATGTATTGGATATACATATCATGCATGCATGTCCAAATATGTTACCCTTACTACAACATTTTAGTTCTTTTACGATACAACATTTTAGTTCTTTTACGACTTGGCACATATGACATACAGTACTGGTATGTTGTAAATAATATCATTCACGACATTCATAAAGTTCATGTTGTAATACTTGTGCATAATCTCACGTTCACAGTAGTACTTTTGTGCAAGTCGTTAAACACAAATATTTACGCCTTAAGCGTTGTGTGTCGTATTTGACAATTTATACAACACACTTTCCTTCTCTTTTAAGGCTTCACGTTATGTCGTAATGTGAATTTTTCATATATTTGTGTCCCTACCTTTTATGACACGAATGACACATTGTAAATAATGACTCTAACTTTGGAAAATTATTATGTTATAAACAAGCCAAAATTTTCTAGTCAATCAATAGACAATTTGGTGCCAAAATTTTTTTTTAGTTCCCGCCGAAATTTTCCCAACCCACATTTTATTATTTTTTTATTAGACCAATTCATATGTTTTGGGGTGCCCAGCACCATTAGACTTGTTTCAGTTTTCCAATGCTCAAAAA